AGGGTTGCATGCACTTAATCGCTTCTCCATCCAATCGATGATATCCTGAGCAATTTCTTCACGCTCAGGCTCGAAGAGGAGGTCATGCAAGAAGCCCTCATAAAGTTTAATGTCCTTAAACTTGGAAGCTGCCTCATCGTACAAATCCTGAGAAGCTAATGGATCAGTGACTCTATCTGCAGTTCCATGAAGGACAAAGAATGGAACTGTTATGGACTTGAAGTTGCGGGTCAAGTAAGAAGAGATGCGCAAGATCTCATGGCCAGTTCGGACCCTTATTGGTCCGGTATAGACCAATGGATCTGAGTACTTGGCCAAGAGTGCTGCAGGATCCCTGGAAACCGGGATGCCCCTTTTGTTAGCACCTTTGAACTGGAACCTAGGAGCCAACAGTGAAAAGATTGGTGCCACGGCCTGCATAAGAGTATACCAATTTTTATTTTTTATTGTGCCAAAATCGAGATTCCACATGGTTATTATTAGCTTTATAATCAGAAAGACAAGCTAACAACAGCATATAACCGAAGTTGTGGTGCTTTTCCTTCTATGTAAAAAGAAAAGAAGGGAATACAATTTCGAGGCAAAAGAAAAGAAGTTAGGGAGTTCAGCAGAATTAATCAAATAGACTGTCTCTAATCAGAACAAATCCTTCGAAAAACAAGACGAGAAGGAAACGAAAGACTTACCCCAACAATAGGATGAGCAGGCTTGACACGCAAAGCTGGTGAGGTCAATATGATTCCCTCCAACATTTCTTCTATATGTGGATATGAAGCAGCCTATTTAATACCAGCAGAAATCCAGCATTCGATAGTAAGACCCTAGATCATGGATGTTCATAGAACTTACCAAAAAACGAAATGAAGAAAATCGAAGATGAAGAAAGTATCTAGACTACTGTGTAATTCTACAACAAGGCTTACCTTCAAAACCACTGCTCCTCCAGTTGAATGACCAAATAGGAAGCATGGTACCCCAAGGTTCTCCAATTTGATCTTTTCCAGGAAAGCTCCCTGTTCAAATAGCAACATACATTCTCATTATACCAGCTTTATTTATTTCGTATTATTATGAAACAGCAAATAATTCACTCCAGTAATTGACAGCCGAATATTCTGTTGGTCTGAGGGAGGACCTTTACGTGGGGTGGAATAAAATAAGTCACTGCCAAGAGGCCAAGATGAGTATGGAATGATACATAAAGTTGCACTTACAGTGTCTGCAACAACGTGATCCAATGAAGGTACATATCCATGCAATCCATCACTTCCCCCATGACCTATGAAAGAAATTAACTCTTTTAGGGAGAGATACAAACCATCATCCCAACTTACCAAAACAAATTATAATGCCACAGATACTCAGTTTTACCAGTCTTAAAGGCCAAAATGATAAATTCTTTTATCACAAGTCTCTGATGAAGCAGAACACGGAAAAGGGGAACAAGATAACTACCAATGACTCAAAGGCATTATTAAGAATTATATAATTGATGGAAATGCTATCAATTAGAGATCAATGAAAGGCTAATCAACACGAGTAAATGTGAAATAGAATCAGAGCATCAACTAAATATTACTTAGGGAGTAATAATTCAGTCAATGAATCAGACAGAAATTGGTGTGAATTAACAACGATACTTGTTCATTTCATTATTCACAAATTTTTTGTTCTGGAAAAAAAAAAACCCAGGGCCACTTATGGTAAGACCATGAACAGAACTTTGAAAATGCCTTGCAACATATTCAGATGATGTTCTGATATTAAATAAAAATCAATTCAAGTTCATGGCCTCTAAGAAGCAGATTAAGAGAGGAGTTCCAGACCAAGATATCTAAAAAGTCGAAATAAATCTCATAAACAATTACCTGTCCAGTCCATTGCATAGACCCCAAAGTCGAAGGAGACTAATTGTTTAGCAAAATGAGCATATCGTCCACTGGAAATAGAACACAAGAACGGTGTATGTTACACAAGAAGAATAATATGAAAAGAGAACAAGTAAAATAGAGTCCTAACAGATTAGGCCAGACCTGTGTTCGTTAAGTCCATGTATGATGATCAGAATACCCCTGAAAATGAAAAATGGCCTTTAAGAGAGACGTCCAGAAAGCTAACAACTAAAGGCAGCAAATAACATGGTAACTGTACATTTTCTAGAGGAAAGGCATGGAAACCACAAAAAAATAAACATCAACAGCAGAAGCCCTCATTCCTTTCTTGTAGAGTAAATCCTGGCTTTCCAGTTTTTTATTAGAAGAATAGGAATTCGACGCAGTGGAATACAAACAAACGCTCCTAGAATTCATGTATTTTCTTTGCGAAGATAAAGCTGTAGCACTATTCCTTTCAACTACAGCAAGGACATCACCCTTCAGTTACATATACCTATCTTCCCAAGCCAGAATTTTGCTAATATTCTTACCCAAACAAAATTCACAAAAATTTAACATTGAAGTATGGTTAGCCATCGTCCCCCTTTCACAGAAAGAACTGTGTTCCATTTTGCACGGTTAGGGAAAAAAGTTAAACGAAACAGTCAACATGGAAGTCCCGGTATTTCCAATGTCAACAAAATTAATCAAGCAAAACCAAAACTATTCCACCAGGAAAGAAGAGGAAATAAAAAGCAAGAAAATAATGAATTCGGAGTCATCAATTAGGCAAAATTCTCTCTTTCTTCTATCAGAACCCCAACTCGCTAATAATTATCCAATACGTGTATATGCATGTACACAAATAAAGAAAATTTGAAAAAGACTGCTTCTAATTCGAATACAATATCGAGCAATTGAACTACGGAGTAAGTAGTAACAACAATAATTGATACACTATTAATGGCGTGTCCGGTAGATTAAAATCGGATTAAAATTGAAAAAATAGTTTGTTGAGTTTTATTAGACGAGTGACACCAATCACGACTATATTTTCAATTATTTTGAGTTCAGCCAAACATGCTCCAAAAAAAAACTTTTAACAATCAAATGGCGAATCTCGATTATCAAAATTTTTAATAAGAAAAACATACTTTAAGTCACCGGAAGCCGGGAACCACGACCTGCAGAACAGAGCATTGCGCCGAGTACCAAAAAACAGCGAGGTACTCCAGTGGCACCGGCTGTTAGAGTCACCGGTATCCTCCTCCACCATCTCTATAGCCTCGGCAAGGACCCTGCGCCTCAACGTATCCTCCTCATCTCTCCTTAGTCCAAACTTCCTCCGCTTCACCGACGCCACCACCACGGTGGGGGATGAAGGCGGCGATGTGGAGAGGCGGCGGCGGCGAGGGAGAAGGAGGAGGATCCAGACGAAGAACGAGTAAATTAATAGGAATGATTTTCTAAATGCATCGTATGATAGAAGTGACTGCCGGACGTTTCTGAATAGCGGAATTATCCGGCCGCTCGCACCCGACGTCAGCTCCTCCACCTGCATCGCCGTCTCCATGTTAGAGATAGAAAATGAGTATGCCTGTTTTTTCGTGTCAATGAATATACGTATAGAGAGAGAGAAAGAGATATACAAAGACGAAATCTATTGAGAGAGAGAGAGAGAGAGAGAGGAAATATTCGACGCGTTATTTGGGGTTTTATAGATGAAAATGGTGGGGACGAATCACTCCGGTGCTTTTCTATACAGTTATCTACGGGGGGAAAGAAGGCCCTGTTTGGCATGAATTTCGAAAAGTCAAGGACCTTTTGAGATCCAAAAATTACTTTTGGATTCATTTGACCAATTTTATGAAAGTATTTCTTATAGTTATTAGAGTTTTTAGATGAGATTGNATTACTTTTGGATTCATTTGACCAATTTTATGAAAGTATTTATTATAGTTATTAGAGTTGTTAGATGAGATTGATTTAACGTAATTTCTTTTAAAAGTACTTTTGAATTAGAAAACCCTTTTAAAATTAGTTTTCAAACAAAAAATTAAGGGGCTATCTACTGGCGCTTAAAATCAGGAGAAACTGGCTTTTTTTTATCGTTATATTACAAAAAGTGGGGCCCATCATCTCATAAAATTGGTCAAAACTTGCAGCTCAACGTTCCGGATTCTGATTTAAAGCCCGCCCAGACTCTCTCTAAGATAGTTTTCTCTAAAAAATGTTCTACGGAAAGCAAAAGCAAAAGTCAAACCAAACTGGCCTAAATCGCAAAATAAGAAAAGAGGAAATTACACCTACACCTAGAATTAGATTTCCAATTTCACAAATAAGGTCACAAGTTTAACATTTCAAAAATTAGGTTTTAATTAAAAATAAAAAAAACTTTTTTTTTTTAATATAATTAATCTATCAAACCCTAATATAATAGGAAGAAACCGACAGTCTCTCCAAGTCTCCCCCATTTCTATCCTCTCTCGCCGTCTCCAGTTTCTCCACCCATCGATGCCTCCACTCCCCTCTATCGTCTTCACTGTTCTTCTCTCTCTCACATCCGGCGATGTAGTAGAGAACGGGTCAGATCTGTTGTTCTCCACCCATCCGGCGAAAGACAATCTGGCCAGGACGTCCGATTGGGAGAGATGCAACGCCGCCCTTCGCCGCCACTGCAACGCCTCCACTGAAAGACAATGCTGCAAACGGTGTTGATTCACCAGCATCTTCCCGTTGCCGGAGAAATAAGTATTGCTGCCTCCACCTTCATTTGAATTTTGAACCCAACCAACCCTAAAATCGTCTCTACTCTCACCCTAAGAATTCCCAATTGGTTGTTCTCGGTAAGCTGTTGTAATAAGAGGATTTGGCAGTGGGTCCAATGGTCATTTTATTTGCGTCTTTCAATTTATATTTTTGTGGTTGCTACTAGTTCTTTTTTTTTTTTAGTTTTCGAGTTTGTTTTATTAGATGGTTGTGGTGGTTGCTTATCTGATTTTTGTCGATTGTTGTAGATCTGTAGGGGTTTCTTTCGAACGGTGTTGTTAGGTATGTGTGCGTGGGTGATCCGTTGTGATTTTTGTCGTTTTTGATGTTTTTTGTGCACAGATCCTTTGTAGTTTTGTGGTTTTTGATAGTTTTGTGCATAGACCCGGCAGCGGTGGTGGTGTTTTTGTGTTGTTGGATGTGACGGTGGTGGTAGTAGTGTTTTGTGTGGGGTGTTGGTTGTTATAACGGTGCTGTTAGTACTGGTTGCCGTGAGGTTGTGGCCGTTTTGTGGCGGTGAGGTGGTGGCAGTTTTGTAGCGGGGGAGGCGACGGTAGTGGTTATTGTTGGTAGTCTGTAACCAAGTATTTAACTGTGACTTAAAAATTGGACAATATGAGACCAAAAAATTATTAATTGTGACCTAAGAATTATTAATTTGTGACTTGAAAATTATTAATTGTGACCAATAAATTGATAAGTTGTGACTTATAAATTTTGGGATCTGTGACCGATGAACAAATTGTGACTTTTAATTCTTAACTTGTGACCAATAAATAAATTGTGACCTATGAAAATTTTGAATTGTGACCTAAAAAATTTTGAATTGTGACCAAATTGTATAGATCGGTGACCTTAACATATTCACCGGAATCGAATCGGTAGTCGAAAAAGTTGTCGGAACGGTAACTGGAGAAGAGTGGTGATCGGAAAGGTCGTTGGAATAGCCCGGAGTTGTAGGGGTCATGGGGGCAGGTCAATTATTTTATAGTAGAATTAAATATTAATAATGAATTAATTTAATAATTATTATTTTATAATTAAAAATT